TCCACTCAGCTGCATTTGCCCAGATTCTTCATCAATATTAACATGGAGACTTGGGTCTTCCCTCAATAAGAGCTGCAATATTTCAGCAACATTTTTTTCTTCGCTTAGACTGTGAGGCTCAATAGCGGCAAAAAATACTGGTGGAGGAACATTGATCGGTCTTAGTTGAAGAGTATTCAAAGGTGGCGGCGGGCCATTCTTTGGATGAGCACCTGTGTATGACAATAGAGTATCGCCTGTACGAGCGTGTTTTAAGCCGGCAATAACGCCGATCTGACCGGAGGGAATGCTTTGTATCTCTACTGCATCAGACGCGTACATCTGTAACAGTCTTTGGGCTCTTTCTGAAACATGAAGATTCGTGTTCCATAAAGTAGTGTTCCGCTTGACTGTACCGGAGTATACCCTGATGTAGACCAACACGCCGCGTCGAGGATCATTGACCACCTTGAAAGCAAGGGCACAAGCTTCGACCTGAGAAATGAGGGAAGTCCGCGCATTGGATTTTTTGGAGAGATGTCTTGGTTGCGCCGCGGTAAGATCTAGCTTTCCGTTCAAAAGTTGAGATAAGCTGCCATGAACGTTTCCAAGTCGGACTTCTGGGTCAGGCCTTTCGGTAGGGTTTGGTAGAAGATTGTTGATGGCATCAAGAAGCGGTTGAACACCGATATTCCGAAAACTGGCCCCAGCAAAGACAGGTATGAGTTTACCGGAACCATCGAGTACGCATTTTCGCAAACTCTTTGTAATGGCCGTCGATGATATAAGCAGACTGTCATCGTTACACTCCAGCCAGGTTTCAAGAAGCCCTTCATCAAATTCGCATAATGCCTCTACGAGCGCAGCTCGCGCTTTGGCGATTTCTTCAGCGAATTCAGGATCATCTCTTTTCAGCTGATCAAGGGTGAAATGCTGGATTGATTTGCCATCCCCACCTTCTTCCCATTTTAGAGCACAAAGATTGACTGCATCACCGACTCCCATAAACTTTCCTTTCCCACCTTCCCACCATGGAATTTGACACACCGCAGGCCAGCCCCGGAGCCTCGAACCAATCTCTTTTACCGTTCTCGCGAAGGCAGCCCCTTCACGATCAAGCTTGTTGACGAAAGCGATCCTAGGAATACTATAATTATTTGCCTGTTTCCATACTTTTTCTGTTTGAGCTTCTACTCCTGCCACACCATCAAGAATGCATACAGCACCATCAAGGATCCTCAAAGAACGAAGCACTTCAAACGTAAAATCCGCGTGCCCCGGAGTATCAATCAGATTAAGAGTATGCGATATCAGTGATCGAGATGGGTCAGACGCTTTCGAGGATGTATCCTTCTCAGCTTCAGGGGGCCAATGCATCGTAACGGCTGCCGACTGGATAGTGATCCCTCTGGCCCTCTCGGCGGGGAGGAAGTCTGTGACGGTAGAACCATCATCGACGTCTGGTAGATCTATTAGATTATATTCATGGTGATCATGTGACCAGTACAATCATACCTACCTCCTATGCGTCGAGTATAGCCACTGTAATAGAGCATACGCTCAGTAGTTGTCGTTTTGCCCTTTTGAAATCAGAAAAATTTCCAAAAGAGACCAATGAAACTTACTGCATCGATATGAGCTATGATGCCAATATTTCGAGTTGTCTCTGTTAATGCATCGTGACTTTCAGTATGCTGTGAATTATAACGAATGAACGCATTCAATTGACTAGGCTTAGCCAGACAAGGTCGTGTAACTTGTGTCAAGTATCGATGCCATACTTGACACCCTCTTTTTGATACCAACAAGACCATCCCCTCAATGATTGAAGATATAAATGCTCTTCGTACTTTAATTTCAGAGGGCCAAGGGAGAATAATAATGGATTACTAATTTTTGCCTGAGGCTCGAATTTTGACGGCGGAATAAGCCAGACCACGGAGCGGCCGAACCTGGGAACTCTTCTCAATACCTACCTACTTCAGCAAAAGCTCTAATCAACCTCGATTGATTATTTGATTTGCCGTCTTTCTACATGTTTTCCACGAGTTTATGAAATACCCAGATGCACCAGTTTAAATACAAAAGTTCTTTCTGATCCAATAATTGCTACATTCTTATTCTGTTGACTCTAGCTTATCGTCTTCCATACTAAAAGGTCGCGCCATTCATCATGGATTATTCTGCCTCGATCAACGATGCAGATAATCCTGCGGGTGCTTCTCCATGGGGATCTTCCCCTACTGGCTCACCACAGCATCCAAAAACCAGCACATTTCCATCCAGAGATATTGTGTCACCGACACCGTACAACCCGGGTCAACAAGGCGGTGCAGGCTACTCGCAAGAAGATATAATGGGGACTGGAGGTTTCAATCGACCCGATAGCAGTGCTGGTGCATCGGTCTCTGATGCCGAAAGTCGCAGACCTGACACTGTCGAATCAAGTCAAAGCGATGCCGAGGCAGAGCAAGGTTTTGCACAGTATCAACAGCAAACAGCTCCACAGCAACAGTATCCAGCGGGTCAACATAGGCCGGAACCTCAGAGATATCATCATTCTGCTGCGCGACAAGGGCACCATCCTTCGGCACCTCATTACAAGCTGCAAGCAAAGATCACCGGACTGGAGCGCACTGGGAGGAAAGATCCTATCTTGCGATTTGATGTACACGTAAGTCATCGATCAAGCAATATGTAGCTTTGGTCTTGGCTAACCAATTGCGTAGACCAATCTTCCAAAATTTAGAACGACCCAATTTCGCGATGTCCGACGAACGCATTCCGAATTCATCAAGTTAGCAGATCATTTAATATCCTCAAATCCGGAAGCTATAGTTCCTGCAGTTCCTCCCGCGTTGACATCTGCTGGTGCTGGCACTGATGAGGATGAAGCGCGCGTTAAAGCTTCTCTCCAAAGATGGCTCAATTATGTTTGCTCTAATGACGTATTAATGAGGGACGATGAGATGGTTCTGTTTGTTGAGAGTGATTTTGGATACAGCCCAATGCTGAAGCGAAAGCAACCAGCTACTGGAGTTCGCCGAAGGGTTATCAAACAATTTGCACCTCCGCCCGATGACACGCCAGAATTACAAGATGCAAGGCCGGTGGTGAAGCTCTTCTACTTAGGAACGATGGATGCAGGACATAAGGTAGACAAATTGGTCAAAGCAAGACGAGGTAGGTTGTCACATGACAGTTGGAAATCCAAATACTAACGTGTATACAGGTCTTGGTCTAGCGGAGTCCGATTTCGGTGTCAAATTGGGCGCAATGAATATCCAAGAACCTCACCAAGGACTTGCTAATGCATACCGTAAGCTTGGAAAGACAATCCAAAGTACAGGAGATTTCCATGCAGCACAAGGTACTGCTGAAGCCACAACCATAGGTGATCCTCTTCAGTATCATTCTCAAGATTCATTCATTGTCAAAGAAACCCTCACAAACCGACACATACTTCTGCGCGAATTACTACAGGCCCAGCAATTAACCCGAAGCAAGCTTAATGCTGCAGACCGCTTAAAGGCCAGCTCATCTGTCCGAAGGGAAAAGGTTGATGAAGCCATATCAGCACTTGATGAAGCACGCAGCAATGAAGTTTATCTTCACAATAAAACCCAACGTGTCACGGCAAACTTGTTACTTGAACAACGAAGATGGTTCGCTCGGACTGCTGCAGATCTAAGATTAAGCATTCGAGAATATGTGCTTCGTGAAATTGAAGCGGAGCGACGGACTCTGGCGACCCTGGAAAGCATTAGACCTGATATCCGAGCGATCGATTCTTCTGGTGGACTTAGCCGGTTGGGTAGAGAATCACACCCCGCAGCAAGGAGAGCCAGTCTTGCAGCTAGTCAAGGTCCTAAAGGTGATTCGTGGTCTGGTGTTCCAAGACGACCCGATGGACTTAACCGGAGCATTTCAGGCAGTTTCATGTCTACTCCCGACGGCGCAAATGGCGAAGAAGAAGGAGGCGTTGGTCGTGATAGGTCGCTCAGTGGCAGTACTGGTGGATTGCCGGGCTTAAAAGAAGAAGATGACGAGGACCGGGTTGATGCGAGAAATGCGGCGTCGAGATTGGCTAATGTTCTATGAAGTGGTTTATTGCCGAGAATTCTTCTTAGCAAGAAACTTTCCCGGTATTGTGATCCGAGAAAAGGACCCTGGTCACACCCGTTGTATCACCCAAAATCTGTATCGTTCATGCAAAGTGTATGCAATACAATAATTTTTGTGCGACTTTATCCGTTAAGCTACTGGCATCATGTATGTTTTTGATAGTACTTGAGAATATTTGACCAGATTATTTGGGTACCATCCAACCTGGCCAGGTAGGTTTCCTCACCGCTTAAGTAGATGTTTGCTTCTCGTAGTTTGGTATGCACCCATTGCATATATATCACTTGAAAATGAGCCGCAAACCCGCTAGATCCTCGAAAAGTTTCCAGGGCTCCCGGTTGAATGCATATACACCTTTTAGTATCTTTCGCTAATCAAGATGATTACATTAATTACATTACATTACCTTACCTTATATTACCCTTGTGAATGGATAAGCAAGCCCAAAATCAATCCGAACCAGGCCTTTGGTTCGTACAACACCCAACGACACTCCTTTTGAAGAGTAGACTTCCTTGTATCATATTAAACGTGTGCCACAAGCTTCATTGAAAATAATTTGATAAACTTTTCTGTATCACATCTCTGATTTCTGCAGACTCTTGAATGTTAAGAGAACATGCAGCAGCTTTAGCCACGTCACAAAAACTCTCTCAACGATCAAAGGTTACGATCTACCTTCCCATCACATCATCCTCTCCAGTAGGATCAAAACATCAACATACCACCCGGAATTAAAAATGTGACGTTGTGGAGGGAGAATGCATTTTCACACAATATCAGGCATGCGGGCCGTGTTCTTCCGAAGAGGGGCATAATAAGCTACCTATCTAATAATCTAACTCTTTCTTGCCTTTGTACTCAAGTCCTTGATTTTTCTTACTTTTTTTTTTTGACTCCCCTTCGGATTCTTGCTCTTTTTCAGCTTGGATTGGACAATCATTCGCTGCCACTCAATTCGCCATTGCCACCTTAATTCTGCGTGAAAGTGGGTTTCTTCGAATAAAGATGAGGAAATGCGAAAATTTACCCAGTATGTGTGCCATGACGAACTTTGTATCACATCTTGGCTCTGCTTATCGGCATAAAATATCCAATATCGCCGTTTATAAAATATCCCTTTCAGGATTATACCATTCATTCATGCTACATCCACCAGCCTTACCGAATTTTCGTGAATTTGAGGAACGCGCCATCCAGGATATCAATATCTCTATCAACTTTTTTTCATCACAAAAGAACCCATCGACGGGTAAATCGACGATCAAAAGAGTTCTCGTCGTGATTGCACCGATACTCCGATGTTAATCTAATAAGGTTGGGAAGAATCTGGGGTATGGAGGAAAATGATTGTCCGGGTTTGAAGTTTGGTGACGACTAATCACGTATTATCTAGGGAAATCATTGCTCCATTAAACTTCTCCACTCTCTCAGAGATGCGAATGGAGTTGTCGGATTGGTTGGCTTGGACGTCTTATCGGACCCAGGCCTCTAATAGCTTTAATATCCGGCATGTATAATGTATTGTTGACTTTTCAAGACATTAGTTGATATGTACGTCTTGTCACTTCAACGATGTACGCTGCACACTGATAAACAACGCAAAAGAATGGGCGATGTACCAGTTACCAGGATAAGCGTCAAGTGAGGGGCCGGAATACATTTCTAGCCACACAGCTATCTTCAACGTCTAGCTGCAGCAAGATATCCGGCAATGTTGTATCTTTTATCTGCCGTTACACCTCATACGATCTTTCAGGATCTTCACTATTTGGATATACATGAAATAAAGTATATTTCACTCCAATCGCGGAGGTACCTAATACAAAGGTCCGACTCCGCTGGAAGCACAGAATTCAATCAAGGTGTGGTGTGCTTCCGTGCCTGCGTCTGCAGGGTACAGATGCATGGGATATACACATTTCCGCAACATTCCAGTGGACTGACTGTTACTGAGTATACTGCGCGATGGATAGCAACATGATAGATCAGGTATTTGCATGATAGATGTCTTGCAATCGAAATGAATCATGATGATGTAGATAACTACAAGCTATGTGACTCGACAAGGAGAGCGCCAATTTCTTCTCCAGGGGAAGAAGGTAAACGGTATAAGTTTGGGGGTTTACTTTGGAGAGTGCGAAAATAGAAGAATTTATTAAGCCCCAACACTTTTCTTTCTTGGTCAGAGCACTAAGAGGATATTTTTGTTACCTCATATCTTTGATATCACACAGAGCAATCTCAAATGGCGCCAGCTTACAATGAAAATGTGATGAACGTGGAGGTCACATCCCACGTCAGTAATAAGTCTAGCATTCTTAGTAGCGTTCTACACGGAATACAAGATGTGAGATTGGTGAGAGGAATCCATCCCACTTAAACTCAGACGCATATAAATATATCAAGAGCGTCCCGATTGACATTAAACACTTAGGAAGTTCGCAATATCGCCGAACCTCTCATCGGTGAACTCCAAGTTCAGATCAAATCGACTGGCATCTGCGGTTCCGATGTAAGCTATTACAAGAAGTTCGCTAATGGCGATTTATGTGCTTGTGCGCCTCTATCTCTTGGTCATGAAGCTTCAGGTGTGGTTGTAGGAATTGGACCACAAGTTAATGGTTTTGCTATTGGGGATCGAGTCGCTCTCGAAGTGGGCATATCATGTGGTCAATGCGATATCTGTAGAAAAGGAAGATATAACCTTTGCAAGAAGATGAGATTCAGGAGTAGTGCAAAAAGTGTACCTCATTTTCAGGGGACGTTGCAAGAGAGGATCAATCATCCAGCTGTTTGGTGTCACAAGTATGTTTTCAAAGTCTATGAAGGCAGTCTTAGCAAAGCAGCTTACTGATATATCATTCAGGCTTCCGGATCATATCTCATTCGACGCTGCTGCACTTTTGGAACCACTCTCCGTGGCAATTCATTCTGTGAATCGAGCAGCACCTACACCTGGGTCCACAGCCGTTGTCATCGGAGTAAGTCATTACTTTAATAAATCCCTGTAGCCCCATGCATCGCCGATTTTACTCCTTTAGTCTTAATTACTTTGCTAAAATGTCACCAGGCTGGAGCAGTAGGCCTCCTCGTCGCTGCCATGGCTCGTCAATCTGGTTGCCCTATTGTAACGATAACCGACATCTCCGCGAACCGGGTCCAGTACGCCCTCGACCACGGTTTCGCTACCCACGGATATGTGATTCCTCCTTCTAGCTCCAACTCCAGCGCTCCCTCTACTGCTTCCTCCTCGGGAACATCCACTCCTTCTTTAGCTTCAGGAACCACAACACCTATCTCTTCCTATACCACCATCTCCGATCGTCTCAACTCTGCAAAATGCACTGCTTCCGACATCCTCTCCATTTCATCCCCAGATGACATCCTCGCCGAACACGACCACGAAGGCGCTGACATGACCTTTGAATGCACCGGCAAGGAAATTTGCATGCAAACCGCCATCTACAGCACCAAACCGGGTGGAAAAGTAATCATGGTCGGCATGGGAACACCCATCCAAACGCTCCCTCTCTCCGCTGCTCATCTCCGCGAAGTAGACATTCTAGGTGTCTTCAGATACGCAAATACGTATCCGACAGGTATCAGAATGTTGGGTGCTAGCGGGAAGAAAGGAGGTCTTCCGAGCTTGGACAACATGGTTACGCATCGGTTTAAAGGTCTGGGAAATGCAAAGCAAGCATTTGAGCTGGCGGGAAAGACGATGGATGAGAACGGGGATCTTATCTTAAAGGTGGTTATTGAGGTATAGAAGCGTACAAGGGGAAACGATGGAGTTATTTGACTTTTATGGGACCATAATGAATTTTTTCTTCTTTTCTTTCTTCCTTACGCACACGATCTGGCAATTTTTTTTTAGATAAGAAGTCGAAGGTTAATTTGGGAAAGTGGTTGGTGGGATGAACCTGGTGTTTTACTGTGGAAGAAAGATATCTGGTATAGGGTTGGCGTCATGCTTTGAAGCCGGAGATAGACAAATCGAATATGTTTGCAATTCAATTGATACATTCGAATTTCGCCTCATGTTGAAAAAACTGTTCCTTAGAATTGACCTCAAGCACACGTGAAATCGAGACTCTTTTCCTACGTAGATACTGAAACTCGTTTCAAATATTGAGATCCTAAGAAGGCATTTGGTAATGGCCTACCTGAGCCAATATATTTGGTCAATAATACCCTTATTTCTTATTTCCCCATGATGCCACCTCGCATTTAACATGCAAATCCGCTTTCTACCCATCAAGGTTGTGATTTCTGTCTCTCAATCACCTCTGAAGCACGAGTACTATGTAGATATCCGTGTCTAAATCCGGTAACAATGTCGTGCGACTATATCTCAAAGTCAAACACACAATTGTGTAACAATCCATCGAACCATATTTCCTTCTCGGCGTTGTTTCACAAGATAAGATATGCAAGAGGAAAATTCATGTTCATGTTCATGTCAGGTCAGGTATTCATTGCCTATCTAATTCTCGTTCATTCGTATCTCTCATTCTCATGATATCTGAAATCCCTCATGCAAGTACGCCAGATTCCCTTTTCTTCAAAATGTAAATCGCGCACCACCTGCATGCCTACCTATACCTTCATACGCCCAAACCGAAATACGCCGTTGAAATCAGGGGGGAGAGCTACCCTATGACATAAGATCTCCAACATGCATTACTTCTCGCATTGGATGACTTTGATCACCCCAGCCCATTCCAGGGCGCTTCATTCCGCTAGCCTTTCCGTTCTCTACAACAGCAAACTTCTTTCCTGTTTCTCTGATATCGTGGGCTGATTTAGTGAGCTCGCTGAGGAGGGAGATGAGGCTGACATCGTTTTTCTCAGAGATGAGTTCGTGTTCGAAACCTTGACTGTCGGCGGGTATAAGAACACTAAGACGACCGAGAAGGGCTTGAATAGACCGAAGAATCGAGTGATTGACTGGCGCAAAGTTCTTCGATTCGGTATCTGCTTCCGAGACAACGCCGTCGGCCACGTACGAGGGAGGGAGGTTTTGGAGGTAGGCGGCAACCAGATTAATTCGAGATTGAAGCATCTTGATAGCATTTGCCTTTGCAGTCAAGGAGGCAATTTGTTCTTCGTCTTCTCGTGATAGACTGCTCTCTTCGCGTTTCGAGGTCTCTGAGTCTTTGGACTTTTCTTTACCTTTGCCCTTTCCTTTACCTTCCACAATGGTAATTTTCTTGCTGGTACCGTTTACAGCTGTAGCATTTCCTCCACCACGAGCCACGAAATCAACGCTGATCATTTCTGCTTCGCCAGTCTCGATAGTGAATGGGAGTTCCTTAAATTTGAGCTTGAGTTGTTGTTCCTCGTCTTTCATTTCCTTGTCCTCCCCAGTCTCCACGCCGCTTTCCTCTGCCTCATAGTTGCTTTCGTATATTGTGAGAGGCAATTTTCCGCCAACTGCGCCACCAAGTACTTCTTCAGGATGAAAGCCGAGTAAAATGGCAGACTCATTGTATATAGAGAGAATTTGTCGATGAATAGGAAGATGTATGGGTTGAGGTCCAGAGTTAGGAATGATAGTATACCACCCGACAAGATCAAGCGCAGGAACTTTATGAACATCCTTCACTGTAGAAAGTCAGTATGAAAGAAATTGCCCACTCAAGTTAGGTTGTACATACTTTGTTGTAATCTTGCCTCAAACCATAATGGAGATAGCTTTACTTCATCTTCCTCTGTAGTGAGCAGACATTCGAATGCATGCTCAATAGTGATTTCGCGACCATTCTGTTGACCTAGCAGAGCTCCAACTACAGGTCCAGTTTGTTGTCGCAGAGTGTGTCTTGTAATATAGTCTGAAATTGTGAGGAGAACGAGGGGGTGTAGAGCTACCTGGAGACCAGAATCGGACGACTTCTGTGTCGAAAGTAAGGAATTATGGTTGTCAACAGCCATTATGAAGCTTGTAAAAGGACTCAATAATAAACACAGACAGTTTCGATAGTTTTTTGGCAACTTAAAAGAAGTTAGATGTGTTTATGAATTGGCCTGTCGATTTATTTGTCTTGTATGTCATAGAGATAGTGGGAGATTGTTTTGGCGGGAGCTTTATCGATTGTACCGGTTAAACTTCGGTTAACCACAATGCCGCTAGTGTACTACCAGTCTCCAGTATGGCTAAAACCTTGGCTTTGGGCATCTGAAATGCCTGCTGGGTATGCTCGTATGATAGGCACATAACATCAGGTTTTCCAATAACCTTTCAATCATTCACCTCTCAAGAATGTATCATTCCTGGTGAATCAAAACCCCAAAGCTTCTTGTCGTTCCTTTAACTCTTTGTCTATTTAGGTCCTATGCATAGAGCTTCTGTGAACTTTCTCATTCTTCAACCTACAAGGACAATGGCATGACTGCTTGGAAACGAACAAGCCAAAATGAGATGAATGTTCAAGCACTGGGTGGTCTTACTTATTGTGAAATGCAAATCCCTTCACCATTAGTATGGATGTTGATATCAAACACGGTAAGATGGTATATAATGAACATGTTCACCTTGTCATCAACCTTTGTGTCTTTGCCTAATCTATGTCCTAACTTTATATCCTCAATATCTCCTTCTTTTCTAAAGTTCTTAACTCCCTAGCCTCCACATCCTCTTCATGATGGCCGAAGTTGAACAGGCTAATACACAGAGCGCTATCTCTCCTCAAACTGCTCCCCGTCTAGAACCTGATTGTAACTCAGTACCTCTGACAGACAATTTAGCCCGTTTGGTTAACCATCAATCTATTCTAGCTAGTGATACCACTCAGCAAGTGCCAGAGAGAGTCCTACCGGAGCAACCAGTCCCAGAATCTTCAGATGATGAAGTAGAGTTTGTGTTTTCGGTCCCTCGACGAAGGAAAAAAAGGCACAGAAGGTATGACAAAGTCCCATGCCAATGAACTCATTCTAAGCAAAGCATTTATTAGGCTTGAGCTTCCATCACAAAACACTCATACCAGCTCAGCTAGTCCCATTTTGAGCGCCGGAGTTATAGGTGCTCGTCCATCACCGGAGAAGCTCGCACCTGATATGGCTCGTTCGCTTGATCATTGCACTGAGCCCGATGAGATGAACAGAGCTAGATGCCATTCTGTCAAAGCGATGAATGAAACCGCCACATTTGATACTTTTCCACGGCCATTGAATCTTCCACAGTCAGGGCTACCCGCAATATCCCCTTCGCATCCTTCTCAAACTGTACCGTTCAAAATTCCACCACCTTGGTATGCCAAATCCATACTTCCGCCACTGTTACCAACATCACCGCATCATAATGCAAAATCCACAACTTTCACATCACCAGAGCAAGATCATGGTAAAAAAAGAAAGCATTATAATTCAAGTGAAAATTCAAATCATGTGTTTCCATGCATATCTTCGGCATCTATGTATCTACCAAGACCAAAGGTCTTACCGTCGTCTAATTCAAATTCTAGCCCCATTTATGGACATAACGGATTTGTGGACTTTTTAGAAGATCCAAATGTGCCAACTACTTTCGGAGGAGTGCCTCTCCCTCTTCCGCCACATCGGCCAGTTATACCTGGTTGGCAAGACTTTTCCTGGAAACCATCAGATTACTCACCTCCAAAGCGCGCACCATCTATTGATCCACGAGCAAGTATGTTTTCTAACATCAACAACGACCCGAATTGGCACCGCAAATATTACTTTGGTGCCGTTGACCCAAATTTTGTCAACTCGCAAAAAGTTTACATTGGAAACCTCCCAAGCGAGAGATACGTGCAAGAAATGGTGTCACCCAAAACAATACCTCTTACAACTCAAACCGCACTGGCGTCGTATCCTTCAATTCAAATGAAGTTAGTTCCACAATTACGTCACATGCCTACAAAGATGTCTACGTCTTCCACAAATACCTGTCCTGTGCAACCTTCGATATCAAATCCTGGGACATACTCTCAACCAACACATCCAGTTACACTGGTGGGACATACTTGTCCTTCTCCATCCCCTCATCCCCAGGTGACTGCAGCAGATATACGACGCAAACCTTCTCTATATAGAATACCTGCGTGGACACATTCGATGGATAACAACAAAGCTTCACCATCCACAGCTCTCTGTGAACGTCAAAATCAGACCGGCGACACCGAAAGCAACGGTATACTTTCTCCACACATCAGCGCACCTCGACAAGCGAGACCTACTGCTTCCCACACGCCAGATTCTACCTCATCTCCTCTCCAAACTCCGGTCCTACATCCTTCAAGACCAAAAACATCCACGTCCGCGTCTGCATCTTCATCTAAACACTCCCCAAATTTGTAAGTCTCCTCTCTTCTCATATCTATGTATGAGATCCTTGATTAACATACAACCAGAATCATAGACATAGCCCAAACGAGTCAAGACACATTTCCATTTGCAGAAGTAGCGGCTAGACATAATAAACCCATACAAAAAGTTTTTGATACTTTTTCGGCCATAATACAGTTACCGCTACTAAAACAGGCAGCGGATGGGAGGAGACACGGGCCATTAGGAAGTGAGAGGATGAGGATGTATAGGGAGGCTAAAAGGGCCATGGAGAGGGCGAATAGAGAAAATGAGAGGAAACAGGGGCGATGAGCGTGGAACTGTACTAGGAAATCAGGATTTGAAATATGGGGAGTTCTAGTTTGATCAATGCTTTACTTTACTTCTTTGGTTTTTCATCATCACTGGAGTTTAAACTTGTTCTTATGTACGGATAGGAGCCAAGGTCGATGAAAGAACATTTTTAGGCAGATCTCAGCCAAATTATCAATTTAAAAGAAACTCTGATAGGTTTTATCTCAAATCCAACTGCTTCTCGCTTGCGCCTAACTATTGAAAAACAATATCAATGTGCCCGAACTAATCCATTTCACGAATGAACACTCCATTGTGACTATCAACGTCAATTCCTCACAACTAACTATCTGATATTGGTACAATAACATGAATAATTATACAGTATATGTTTTTAAATCATAGGGTATTCCACATGATCCAGATATTCAAGATGAGGAGCATTCATAGTGTATCATGCGGATATTTGGTGATATCATGAACTAATAAGGGTACAGATGTATTTTTGATTGCTTTGACACATTACGAAATCTGTGGTAATTGAATGGTCGAACGATACCGGATTGAGTGATGCTTATTTCCAAAGGTTGGTAAGATCATGTGAGCAACAGTTGGTTGACACTTTGCTTATTACATAGTACGGCACATATTTTCCACGTAATCAATCGTGTGATTCTGGCTCGATACTAAAAGTTGGAACACGTTGAATCGTAAGATTCGTATAAAGCATCTCGTATATCCATACACCGTGAAGTATAAACATCAGTGACAAGAATATGCTCACTCTCTAATCCCCAACCCTACACATACTTTCCCCTTTCGTTCATTTTCATCTCGAGATAAAAACCCAAGAAGGCAATAAAAATGTCGTTTCACACGCTCGAATCCTCATTCCTTGATTTTCTGCTTCGGGGAATAATATTTCTCTTCTTGGCGGGTGGGATGGTTGCGATGTTATGTTGTTTACTTTGAGTGTTTGAATGGACTTTGGGTTGAAGGTGTTGTGGGGATAGATGATGGGAGATGCAGTGGGATGTTTTGTGGATGGAAAGGGACAGATTTGCTGATAGATGTGGGATAGAGGAGGCATAATTGCAGGATTTAGATGGGGGGGAGGGGATATGCTAATTGGAGGGTGGTGTGCAAGGAGGCTGTCGAAGGTCATGGAGAGACGGGTGTGAAATGAAGGCTTTCTTATGTTACCTAGGTGGGATTTGGTTCAGCTATTCTCTCCCATGTAGTTGGCATATTCGCAACAAGGAACATAATTCCAATGCAATACTCAATCGTGTTATTCAACTAACTTTTCGCCAATTTATCCAAAGCTACCTAGTCTCCAATATACGACGACGAAGTGTATCCAAAAATATAGTCTCGTATGCCAATTTCACCGAACGCCATCCATCCATTCCAATTTCTATTACATGGCAGAACTCAGTTACTCGCCTTAACACCCTCATCTGTCTGCCAGCTTCTCCCCAACAACCCTCCACCCCCTCTCCCGGCCTTTTGATCCTCTCTTGAAATTCGCATAACCAATTCCCCAAAAAGTCCATTCGCCCATCCAAACCAAGCTCTTGTCCAATCGTTTGCATTCCATGAGTTGACGCTCTCATGGATTACACCCGTTCCTCCGGTGCTATCTAGCACCATCATTACCTGTTCTACTACTTCTTTCTCCACATCTTCTATTCCCTTGCCCGATCTCGATGCTGTTTCCATGGCAGTAAGGGCGCGTATAATAGCTGCCATAGGCCAACTTTTGCCGGGACCAAGATGAGGGCCACCTACTGCGGCAATGGAGGGCCCTTGCATGAAATAGGGATTCTCTTGACTTAGGACAAAATTTCGAGTATTATTATAGATCTTTGCATGATCAACCTTTGTTTTTTTACCACCTTGCTCTCCGTCACTTTCAAAAAGTTCAGGGAGGGGAAATGAAGAGTTTTCATAGTCCCAAAGAGGAATAGCTAACAGTGAAGGCACATTGGCATCATCCATCAAATTGTGGCCGCCGAAGCCGTCGATTTCATAGGCATAAATATCGCCGAATTTCCAATGACGAGTTATGGCATCGCGATTTATGGCTTTTCTTATTCCGAATGCTTGCTCTCGCATGGAGGTGGTCAGTTTGGCGGCCTTTTCGCCAGATAATTGTTCCATAATAATAGATGCCTCTTCTAGGTATTTAGCCCACATCATGTTTGCAGGCACCAATAATTGATAGATACATGCGTCATCTGAAGGACGGAATGCGCTTCTCACCATTCCGTTCTGTTTCGTAGGGTTACCCAAACCATCATTTGTCAAAGTCTCGCTGCCGCGGTTTGTCCAACCTGTAAATGTCCATGCGGATTTTTGAACTTTGCCTTCAGAGGAATACGTTCCCAGTCTCATTGCACCAGCGGCATCTACAGCTGCTTGAACAGCATCGATCCAGGAATATTTTTGAAAGAATGATAAATCGTTTGTGCGCTGATAATAAGCCGATGAGACTTGGAGAAAGGAGGCCAGGGAATCGAGTTCCCATTTACAGTCGAAGACTTTGTCAGGATCATAGGCTGGCATGGGATGATTTTGATGATACGCTCCATTGGTTTGGAGTTGGAGCCCTGATTCTGGTGGAGGCTGGAAACTATGACAGTATGGTGATATGATGATATATCGTGCGTGTAAATTGATAAGACCACGCCATAGACTTGCAAGAGAATCTCGATTATCAGAAGCTTCGAGTAATGGGAGATAGGAATATATTTGGGATGCAGAGTCCCTCAGCCACATAGCATCAATGTCGCCAGTGATAACAAATGTGAGCTCTTCATCCGTCGCTGTCTCGTTTTGTGTAACTGGATCGATCTTGTTTGCGTACCCTCGCCATTTAATTGTAGTATCCAACGTATTTGGATAACTATTTTCAAAAAGCCGGAAGAGATCAGGGTCCTTGATAATCGTTTTCATTTGCTCGATGAGCTTTTCTAACGAAGGAAGATTGAATGTCCGGCATTCCTGTGAAGGGCGAGAATAGGGAAACTTCCTATGACCTTCAGATAATGGCTCTTGTTTCTTCCGCTGAATTTGTGCATAAGATGGACATGTAACCGCTGGAACAATTGGTGGTGGTGTTGAGGTTGTATCAGAAAGAGGTTTGGTATCTAAACCAGTACTGGGTTGTTTTTCAGCTGGGATGTGTTCATCTGGCTTCTTGTCTTGGTTTTCCTTCAGGGAAGGCTCTTCAACCGTTGGCGATGTTTTGACCTCATCATTTGAATCCGATAATGGAATTGACGAACTCGGGTCTGCAGGTATCTTTGAGTCGGAATTTGGGTTGGGTTGTGTTTCATAGATAATTGAATCATTTGGTTCAGTACGTGGCCACGTGATATATTTACTTTGGGTGTACAAAATGTACGCAATTGTCGCGCTGAAAATGATGGCGACAAACACAATACGACGAGCCTGCGAGCGCATCATGGTGACGATGTTCTGATAGAGATATTGTGGGTATGCACTATTCAATATTCAAAAGTCGACTTTCGACATCAAATGCATTATTTGATGGTCGATAACAAAGGCCACGATTAGCAACAATACAATGGTCGAATAAGGTTAGTAACTGGGTAGAGAAGCTTGACCAAAATAAGGATTCAGGTGATTGAAGAAGAAACTCCCTTTTTCCCTTCCGCCGCTATGTTGATTTGGGAAAGAGCCAATATATAAAAAGATCGAATGAGACATTTTGAAATGTGTTATATGTGCTTGGCGGTGGAATTTAGAGAACCATTCCCCACGCAGCACTAAAACATGGGCAAACCAAGTGAAGTTGTTTTTGGGTAATTATTTATCACCCATTCATTGGATTTGGCTTGTAGCTACTGTATAGCTACTGGGTAAGTAGCATTGTCGTTTCAAACTGGCAGATTACTTCTGAATAGCTTCATCAGCAAACATGGAATGAGTAAATCAGACAGGAAGGGGAGGGGGAGGAGCAGCAACAACATAATGAATTACCTAGTGAAATGTTTTCCGATTTGACCAGGTAGTGCGTGGTATTATCATGAGCGCAGGTGCATGTTTAGTGAATTTGCCTTCAAGGTGGCAAAATGTATCATGTGACAGACCTTGAATCGTTGATATATGTTCAGCGCACTAACAGCTAGATTGATCTTCATTTGCTTCAATTACTTCAAAAAGATATACACCAACAGAAAGTTTGCACTCCACACAGAGTCTGAGACTTGAGGATATTTATCATTTGCTCAAATGCTCCAATTACCTACTTCTTAAGAGACGCATCAATATGTGCAGATCTTCCCACCGAGTTCAGCAATGACAAGAGACATGTATAAACGGCATCAAACCATAAGATTGATTCTTCTTTATCGAGTCGAAGTCGTAATTTCAAATAACAATGAGCTTTTACCTTCCCAAACTCCAGTTTTCGGTGTGGTAGCAATAATGGTAGGCAAGTGTCAAGTTGGCAACGGCATTACCTCTGCGTACTCTTTTACCTTTAAGCTTCTTGTTGTGTTGCGTTTAGTTGTAGTACGCGGTCTATTGAATCGTCGAGGAAATGCCTCTCTATTTTACCGGCCGTTTGATGAAAAGTCTGCCATCTCAAACAATTTGTCACTTTAAGCAAGGCTCTTTTGTCTACCACCCAGGACGTTCTGGTCAAGAATGACTCGATAGCAAGGTCCTTGACCTTGATTTATGCCGTATCTTGAACGATCCGAATTGTGTTCTCTGTCCAGACACTGTTTTGATCACACATGCAACAAAAAAAAGACATTTGCTGTTGAAAGACTTTCCATCCCGTCTGTTCTTCCTCAACTCAGAGGAGCTCGCAGAGTGCAGCGAAATATTTCTACTGTGGAGGGCTCAGATAAATTATCGCTTGAATCAAACTCACTTGCGAAGCGCCAACCATCCGGGTGGTGAAGTACATCGCTAGTCTCATATCCGATATACTTCAACAAGTTTCAAGACTTTAAACTTATCATGCCCATCTACGATATTCGAATATCGGGACTGAAGTTATAACCAACCAATTTTTTGCATTTGTTTCCAATCATCGATCGATATTAGTGACCATTT